ACACACACACACACACACACACACACACACACACACACACACACACACACACACGCAACAAGGGTGCCTCCCTGGCGCCCTGGCATGCATGCCACACCGTGTTGGACCCTGCCAACTGCAACTGTAGTGAAGTGCCGCCGCTCCAAGAGAATGTGGGCAGCTACGATTTAGCGCCCCCGGTCCATCTCTGCTGGCCCATTGGGGCCGATGGCGCGCCTCAGAGGCCGAAATCGGGGGAACACAACAAATTATCCTGGCGAAGGACCCAACCATAGGAAGGTGTGGGTACCGCAATTGTGAATATTTTCTTCGGTGAAGCTCCCTACGGGGCCACGAAGCGCTGCGCTGGGCGGGGGGCGGAACGCGTGCGGATGGTAGCACTGGGGCCGTCGGCGAAGCTCCCTATGAGGCCACGAAGCGCTGCACTGGATGGGTGAAAATACCCGATTAGGCGTGTGGGACGCATGCGGGCGGTCCCATTGAGGGCTTCGGTTGAATAAAAATGCCAAATTGGGTGTGTGGGACGCGTGCGGGCGGCCCCACTGGAGGCTCCGGTGGGGCTCCCTATGGGGCCACGAAGCGCTGCACTGGGTCGGTGACAATTCACAATGCAACCTTGGGCGTGGGGGACCGGGACGCATACTTGCGGTCCCAGTAAAGTCTTCGGTGGTAGCTCCCTGAGGGGAACTCAACTTGCGGTCCCACATTGGGGGCTTCGGTGGAGCTCCCTACAATGGGCCCACGAAGCGCTGTACTGGGGCGGGTCAAATGAGCCCAGAATTGGGCGTGGGGGACGCATGCGGGCGGTCCCAATGGGGGCTTCGGTGGAGCTCCCTACGGGGCCACGGAGCGCTGTACTGGGTGGGTGACAATGCCAAATCGGGCGTGAGGGACGCATACGGACGGTCCCACTGGGGGCTTCGGTGGGGTCCCTATGGGGCCACGAAGCGCTGTACTGGGTGGGTGACAATGCCAAATCGGGCGTGAGGGACGCATACGGGCGGTCCCACTGGGGGCTTCGGTGTGGCTCCCTATGGGGCCACGAAGCGCTGTGCACTTGTTGGTGACGCCGCAATTGGTGTGGGGTACGCATTGCCGGGCGCTACCAGAGGGGCTTTCGGTGGAGTCTCCCCTATTGGGTTCACGAAGCCGCTGTAACCGGGTGGATAAAATGGCAAGATTGAGCGTGTGGGACGCATTTTGAGGGCGTCCACTGGGGGCTTCGGTGTAGCTCCCGATGGGCCCACAAACTTCTGTACAGTGCGGGTGAAAATGCCAACATGGGGGAGTGTGTGGACCACGCGGGCGGTCCCCATGGGGGCTATGGTGGAGCTCCCAATGGGCCACGAAAACGCCTGTGCTGGGTAGTGGCAAAAATCCAAATGGTTGGGTACTCCAGAAATCCAATGCGGGCGGTCCCACTGGGGGCTTCGGTGGGGTTCCCTATTGGGCCACGAAGCGCTGTACTGGGCCGGTGAAAATGCCAACTTGGGCGTGGGGGACGCATGCGGGCGGTCCCATTGGGGGCTTCGGTGGAGCTCCCTATGGGGCCACGAAACGCTGTACTGGGTGGGTGACAATGCCAAATCGGGCGTGAGGGACGCATACGGGCGGTCCTACTGGGGGCTTCGGTGGAGCTCCCTAGTGGGCCACGAAACGCTGTGCTGCCTGGGTGGGTGAAACGCATGGAAGAAGTAGGAGGGAGGGGAGGAGGAGGAGGAGTGGGAGGAGGAGGAGGAGGAGGAGGAGGAGGAGGAGAAGGAGGAGAGGAGGAGGAGGAACGCGGGACAACGTCTCTTCAAAACGAGGCAGGATGGTTGGGACAAACGATTGAAACAAATCGGCTACACGCAAGAGTGACCCCGTGAAAGAGTGACCTCTGCTGCGCGGCCTGAGGGGGGGGGGGCCTCTTGGAGCACCGCCAGACGCGCGAGCCATTGCTACCGCATCGAGCTCAACGATAGAGGGCCCCCTTGGGCCCACACCAGCAGGTCGCTTCCGCGAGAAAGGTCACTATTACGTGCAATCGGAAGAACCAAAATATCCTGGCGAAGGACCCAACCATATGCAGCTGTGAATACCGCAATTGTGAATATCTTCTTGGGTGAAGCTCCCTATGGGGCCACGAAACACTGCACTGAGTGGGGGGGAACCCCATGCAGGCGGTAGCACTGGGCCTTCGGTGGAGCCCCCTGTGGGGACACGAAACGCTCTACTGGGTGAAGGGGACGCATGCGGGCGGTGGCACTGGGGCCTTCGATGGACCTCACTATGGGACCACGAAGCTCTGCACTGGGAGGAGGGGACGCATGCTGGCGGTGGCACTGGGGCCTTCCGTGGAGCTCCCTATGGGGCCACGAAGCGTGTGAGGGGTGTCCCCAAATGGGTGTCGGGGACGCATGCGGGCGGTGGCGCTGAGGCCTTCGGTGGAGCTCCCTATGGAGTCACGAAACGTGTGGGGGTTGTGCCGAAATGAGCGTGGGGGGCGCATGCGGGCGGTGGCACCAAGGGCCTTCGGTGGAGCTCCATATGGAGCCACGAAACGTGTGAGGGGTGTGCCGAATTGTGTGTGTGTGGGGGGGGGGGGGGGCGTGTGGGGGGGGGGGGGGGGCGGCATGCCGGGCCGTGGCAACTGGGCCTTCGGTGGAGCTCTAAAGCGGGCCACGAAACGTGTGAGGGGTGTGCCGAACTGGGTGTGGGTGACGCATGCGGCCGCGGGCACTGGGGCCTTCGGTGGAGCTCCCTATGGAGCCACGAAACGTGTGAGGGGTGTGCCGAAATGGGTGTGGGTGACGCATGCGGCCGCGGGCACTGGGGCCTTCGGTGGAGCTCCCTATGGAGCCACGAAACGTGTGAGGGGTGTGCCGAAAAGGGTGTGGGGGACGCATGCGGCCGCGGGCACTGGGGCCTTCGGTGGAGCTCCCTATGGAGCCACGAAACGTGTGAGGGGTGTGCCGAAATGGGTGTGGGGGACGCATGCGGCCGCGGGCACAGGGCCGTCGGTGGAGCTCCCATGTGGCAACGAAAACGAGTGAGGGGTGGTGCCGAAATTGGGTGTCGGGCGGTGCTTCTGCGGTGCGACAGGGGCCTTCGGTGGAGCTCCCTGAGAAGGCCACGAAAACGACCGTGTGAGTTTGTGCCGAAATGAGCGTAGGACGAGGAGGAGGAGGACGGAGGAGAGGAGGATGGATGAGGATGGAGGAGGAGTGAGGATTAGGGAGGAGTAGGAGGATGAAGGAGGGAGGAGGAGGAGGCGGGAGGATAGTGAGGAGGAGATGAAGTGTATTAGTATAGTAGTATTCTCAGTAGGTAGTCTTCGGCTAACTCGTGTCTACGGGACACTACAAAAAAACGAGGGCCCAACACCACAGGATGGTTGGGAAAAAAAAACATACCGCCAGAGGTCTGGGGGAGTGGGACGCCCCGGTTTCGCCACGCTCCGCCGCCGCGCGCGCGCTCGCGCGCGCTCGCCTCGGCGCCTCGGCGGCGGCAGCGGGCGCCCTCCGCGGGCGCCCCCCCGCGGCGCCGGAGCCGCGCGCTCACGCCGCCAGGGCGCCGCGCCGGGCCAGCAGCGGCGGCAGCGCCACAGCGGCCGCCGCCACCAGCACGGCGGCGGCGGACGCGGCCCGGAGCCACGGCGGCCGCCGGGACGGCTCGGGGCCCTCGTCGCGAGCGGCGAACGTGTCCATGTCAACGCCCTCGCGGTCCGGAGTCCGGGGCGCGGTCCCGCGGTTGCGCGGCCGCAGGCACGATTGCCCAGAGGTCCGACGTCCTGCTGCTGCTCCACGCGGGGGTCCCCCGAAGGCCCGGCCCCTTCCCCGGGACAGGCTTTTCATCCTGAGTCGCGTTTTGGCAGTCCCAGAGCCCCGCCAGGGCTCCAAGAGGCCGAAGACTACGAAAAACTAACCTCCTTTTTCTTTCAATACGTTGGAGGTCGGGAAGCATTCCGCGCAGGGCATCTGCGAAAAGCACCCGGTCGCGGCCCAGGAGCCTGGCCCGCGAGGCCGCGGATACGGATATGTTTTCCGCCAACGTGAGGGGCAACGATAGGGTGGGACTGGCATAGTGGGGGGAACATCGACGTGGCATCGACGATACATCGCCGATAGATCGGCAATACTCTGAGTACCTCAATAACTCAAGGCCCCAGGACTACGGCCCTCCGGACTACAAGGGCCGCTCCCCCTGACTACAAGGGACCCCCCGGACCACAAGGGCCCCCCCTGGACTGCAGGCCCCCCCCCGGACTGCAAGGACCCCACCCCTGACTACAGGGCCCCCCCCCTGGATCACAGAGCACAGGCACCCCTTCAAAGCGAGCGGACGGCGGAAGAAAGTTGGGAGCCGCTTCCCGTTTCCCGCGGCCGAAGACATCGCTGTGCCGTCCTTCTGTTTGTCCGCACCTCCTTCGCTTCTCCCTCGCCTCCCCCTCGCCCCGGCGCTGCCGTGCGTGCCGCTGTCGCCTCGTTGTGCCGCGCCCCTGGGGTTGACCAGCGGAGCGGCGCCCCAGGCGCGCCAGGGCGACTCTCCTTCGCCCCCCCCCTGCGCCAGCGACGCCAGGCGCGCGACTGCTGCGAATCGCCCGCGCCCCCGGGCCCAGCAGAGTTGCGTGCATGTCTCACGCAAATCTTGCCGTCGCTCGGACGTCCATTCTCCGTGCATTTCTCGGTGTCGTGCGTGCCTTTTTTTTGCTCGATGGTCCAGGATGGTCCTCGATGGTTCTCGCCGAGAAAAAATGCACACGTCCGAGCGATGCCAAGAAATCAGCATGCGGCCGCGCGGGCGCCAGCCGCCCCTATCTGCGCCCCACGGGCGCTTCCGGGCGCGCCCGTTGCTGCCCCCCTGCGGAGCGAGAGCGCGCCCCCCCCCCCCGCGCGCGCCCGGCCCAACCCTGGACGTCGGGACGCGCGCCCCGCACTGTATAGGACTGCCCCGCTGGACTGCAACAAGCACACACACACACACACACACACACACACACACACACACACACACCCGGACTACGAGGGCGGGGCCCCCCCGCGGACTGCGAGTGCTCCCCCCCCCCGACTACACGGGGGGCCCCCGCCAGGGCCCCCCCGACTACACAGGGCACCCCAGAGCCACTCCGAGGCGTCCAGAGCACGTCCCCGATCGCACGTCCGCACGTATTCCCTGGGCGGGGTGGGGCCACCAGACCCCGGTCGGCAACCCGTGGGCGACGAGGGGGCCGATGGATATCCCCTCCCACTGCCTGCCTGTCCCCCCCGGTCGCTGCCCCCGACACGGACCTCGGGCGCGGAGGCCGCGGCGGGCGGCACCACCTGGTCGGAGGCTGCCAAGCGCGGACGTCGGACTGTTTGAGCAGGGACCGACCGTCCTGGCATTCCTGTATAGGGCGCAAACAAACCTACCTCGCTTTTGACCACCCTCGCTTCCAAGAGATACCAAGCGACGCCAAACTACGGCCTGCGCTGGTCACGCCGCTTGACGAGGAGGCGCGTGGTATGACTTGGTTTTGCCTGGAAGCGAAAGCGGGGTAGGTAGGGCGACTCTCCTTCGCCCCCCCCCTGCGCCAGCGACGCCAGGCGCGCGACTGCTGCGAATCGCCCGCGCCCCCGGGCCCAGCAGAGTTGCGTGCATGTCTCACGCAAATCTTGCCGTCGCTCGGACGTCCATTCTCCGTGCATTTCTCGGTGTCGTGCGTGCCTTTTTTTTGCTCGATGGTCCAGGATGGTCCTCGATGGTTCTCGCCGAGAAAAAATGCACACGTCCGAGCGATGCCAAGAAATCAGCATGCGGCCGCGCGGGCGCCAGCCGCCCCTATCTGCGCCCCACGGGCGCTTCCGGGCGCGCCCGTTGCTGCCCCCCTGCGGAGCGAGAGCGCGCCCCCCCCCCCCGCGCGCGCCCGGCCCAACCCTGGACGTCGGGACGCGCGCCCCGCACTGTATAGGACTGCCCCGCTGGACTGCAACAAGCACACACACACACACACACACACACACACCCGGACTACGAGGGCGGGGCCCCCCCGCGGACTGCGAGTGCTCCCCCCCCCCGACTACACGGGGGGCCCCCGCCAGGGCCCCCCCGACTACACAGGGCACCCCAGAGCCACTCCGAGGCGTCCAGAGCACGTCCCCGATCGCACGTCCGCACGTATTCCCTGGGCGGGGTGGGGCCACCAGACCCCGGTCGGCAACCCGTGGGCGACGAGGGGGCCGATGGATATCCCCTCCCACTGCCTGCCTGTCCCCCCCGGTCGCTGCCCCCGACACGGACCTCGGGCGCGGAGGCCGCGGCGGGCGGCACCACCTGGTCGGAGGCTGCCAAGCGCGGACGTCGGACTGTTTGAGCAGGGACCGACCGTCCTGGCATTCCTGTATAGGGCGCAAACAAACCTACCTCGCTTTTGACCACCCTCGCTTCCAAGAGATACCAAGCGACGCCAAACTACGGCCTGCGCTGGTCACGCCGCTTGACGAGGAGGCGCGTGGTATGACTTGGTTTTGCCTGGAAGCGAAAGCGGGGTAGGTATTTCACGCTCTGACTGTAGTCCTACCACGAGATGTTTTTAGAACCCAGAAATGTTCTAAGAACAGAAGCAGTGTTCTCAGAACATAAACCCGATGCGAGAAACCAAGACAGTCCCGGCCAGAACTGTTCTAAGAACATTTCGTGGAATCAAAAAACGTTTTCAGAGCATTTTTTGGTAGGACTATAGGCGAGCCAGGACGCTTCGCCACTGCTTGAACTGTGTGTCGCTGCCAGCGCCCCAAGAACCAGGCTTCGGCCCCTTCCCTGGGAGGGTATAGATCACCGGGGGCCTTGGCTACCCTAGGCCCTACCCAAGGCCCTAGGCTTCCCAAGGGTAGGCCCTACCCAAGGCCCTAGGCTTCCCAAGGGTAGGCCCTACCCAAGGCCCTAGGCTTCCCAAGGGTAGGCCCTACCCAAGGCCCTAGGCTTCCCAAGGGTAGGCCCTACCCAAGGCCCTAGGCTTCCCAAGGGTAGGCCCTACCCAAGGCCCTAGGCTTCCCAAGGGTAGGCCCTACCCAAGGCCCTAGGCGTCCCAAGGGGTAGCCCTAGGGTAGCCCTAGGGGTGGGCCCCAGGGGTAGCCCCAGGGTAGCCCTAGGGGTAGGCCCTAGGGGTAACCCTTTATTGCGGGCGGGCGGGCGGGACATTAAAGGCAAGGATTGCTTGTGTGGCGAATTACGAATGGATTTTCTTTTATTGCGGATTACAAACTGATTCCTTTGGTCGGGCGGGCGGGCGGGACATTAAAAGCATTGGTTGCTTTGGTGGCGGATTACAAAGTGATTCCATGTGGCAGCGGGTTACGAGTAGATTCCATTTGTGGCGGATTACAAGCTGATTCCTTTTGTCGGGCGGGCGGGCGGGACATTAAAGGCATTGATTGCTTGTGTGGCGGATGGCAAACTGATTCTTATCGTGGCAGATTACACATTGATTCCTTTTGTCTGGCGGGCGGGCGGGACATTAAAGGCAATGATTGCTTGTTTGGTGAATTGCGAATGGATTCCCTTTGGCAGCGGATTTTAAACTTATTCCTTGGGTCGGGCGCCTTTTGCCTGGCGGGCGGGCGGGACATTGAAGGCAATAATTGCTTGTGTGGTGAATTACAAATGATCCCCTTTGGCAGCGGATTGCAAACTTATTCCTTTGGTCGGGCGGGCGGGCGGGACATTAAATGCATTGATTGCTTTCGTAACGGATTACAAAGTGATTCCATTTGGCAGCGGATTGCAAGTTGATTACTATTATGGCGGATTACAAGCTGATTCCCTTTGTCGGGCGGGCGGGCGGGACATTAAAGGCATTGCTTGCTTGTGTGGCGGATTACACAGACTGAAGGCCCTAGGCTTCCCAAGGATAGGCCCTACTGGACACCCTAGGGTAGCCCTAGGGTACCCCTAGGGGTAGGCCCCAGAGGTAGCCCTAGGGTAGCCCTAGGGGTAGGCCCTAGGGTAGCCCTAGGGTAGCCCTAGGGGTAGGCCCTAGGGGTAGCCCTAGGGTAGCCCTAGGGGTAGGCCCTAGGGGTAGCCCCAGGGTAGCCCTAGGGGTAGGCCCTAGGGTAGCCCTAGGGTAGCCCTAGGGGTAGGCCCTAGGGGTAGGCCCTAGGGTAGCCCTAGGGTAGCCCTAGGGGTAGGCCCTAGGGGTAGCCCTAGGGTAGCCCTTCCTTGGGTGATCTATAAGCCTGGGAGAGGTATTTCGCCCTCGCGCGCGGATCCATTTGGGATGGCCCCGGGGCCCGACAACGTGGCCCGGGAGCCGGAATCGAGGAACGAGAAGGCCTCGAGGTTCTACAAAGTCAAATCGTCAGAGACGCTGCTGGACTGCACCCCCGGCCCAAGAGGACCCCCCTCCGCAGGATCTCCTGGGAGGCCCAGGCCAGCGCCCCGAGGCCCGTGGACGGGCCCCCCGGGGGGCCCCAGACTGGCGCGAGGGGCTGGGGGTGACGCCCTGGGCCGGCCCCGAGGTCCGACGTGGCGACGAGAACTACTCGAACGTCCTGCACTGCAGGATCACGCCTGGGGCCCTGGACCCTGCCTTTCTGCGACGTTTCTCAGGCCGGAGATCGCTCTGAGTGGACCGCCGGGGCCCGAGGATCCTGGCGAGAGCGCCTGGCGCAACAACCGTATCTCAAGGCGCGGGGCACCGCTCGTGAGCGTTGTTCAAACTCGGCGTCTCGACAAAGGGCGGAAATGCGGGGGTGTCTGGCTCCAGACCTCTGCTCAGTGCGACTGTTTGCAAGAGTGCTGCCTCTGGGGGAGACTCCACCCGCTCGAAACAGGCGCCAAAGAACAGCCAAGAGTCCCACCAGCCCCTTGGGCGTGAGTGGTTTAGAGAGCCCGCTCTGTTCTCAACCCCTCTTCTTCCCCTTCGGGGAGGGGTTTACCCCTCCCCCTACCCCCTCCCCCTGGGCCTGGAGAGGGCGCCCCGCGGGTGGTTGGAGGGGTCTTTTTCGACTCCTGGGAGGGCCAAAAAACGACAACCCTCACGAGGATTCTGGCCCCGGGGGGGGGAGGGAGTTTGGCGCCTCAGCTCGTCTTTGAAGCCAAAAACATTGATGTTACTAGGGTTTGGGCCCCATTTTGGCCTTCTGAGGGGGCCGCGCTCATCTTCCCTCATAGCAAAATCATTGATTTTACAAAGGTTTTGGGCTCATTTTGTCCTTCTCAGGGGGCAGCGCTCATCTGCGCTTCTGAGGAGGTCGCAAGAGTCCCCAAGATGGCCCCAAGAGGCCCCTAGGAGGCTCCCAAGAGGCCTCCAAGAGGCCCCCAAGAGGCACCCAAGAGGCCCCAAGAGGTCCCCAAGAGGCCTCCAAGAGGCGCCCAAGAGGCCCCAATAGGCTCCAAGAGGCCCCCAAGAGGCCCCCAAGAGGCCCCCAAGAGGCCCCCAAGAGGCCCCAAGAAGCTCCAACAGGCCCCCAAGAGGCCCCACGAGGAGCCCGAACGACTCAC